GGCCACAACACCGCCACGACGGGCCGTCCCCACTTCCCTCCCCCGGGAGAGGAGCCGCGGCCGCATGTGGGCGAAGGGACAGGGCCCAGGCGGAAGGAGAACCAGGGAGTCTTCAACAGTTTATTAGAAAGAATGTAGACATTAAAAAAATCCCCGCTGCTCTGAACATAAAATTGAGGTTTTTCAGCCCAGTTCAAAGCCGCCCGCTGGCCGGTCGCTGCCACACCCACAGTGCAAATACGATTTGGTCTAAACGTACAGATTGACAAGCAACAACGTACAGCCACGCGCACCCGGAGGAGATGGAAAGCTTGAGGGTCAAACGGGGACAGGCTCCAGCCACCTGCGCTGGGTCGATTTAACACCAAATGAGGAGAAATTTGTTTCCTTTTCAATACAAACTTTAGTGGAACAGACCTGAAGACACCCCAGAGGTACTGCGCAGCGCCTGTTGAATTTTGTGAGCCAATGACAACGGCTTTGTTTCAGCCAGTTTTGTTCCCGGTACAAATGTACAATATTTCAGGCGGCAGAGGGGGAAAAATTGCTCATTTACCACTTGGTGTAAATTCAGGATTCTCCCATTGTAATTACATCCGCTACGAGGCAAGGAGGCTCTGTAAACTTTATTGCAACTGTTCTCTATCGATTGCCTACACCTCAATTGGGGTTTTGTGGAAGTCTGGAAAACGGTTCATGCATAACGTTATTGCCTCTCGTGGCTTAAGACCGCCCCGTGCAATGGTACACACCTACCATCAGTGAAGCCATTTAAAATGGACTGAAAATGGGTTAAAAGGATGCAGGATCTCCCTTTAGGGCTATCAACTCAGGAATTCTTGTCTCAATTATGAAATGTTGTGATGAAGTTCTTTCCCCAAACCCTGAAGACGACAGTTTTCCTTACTCCAGATCCGGCATTTCTAGAGAGAAAGAGAAGAGTGTTAGCAGGTGGAGGGGATTTGTCATTTTGTTTTTTTAAAACAGCCACCAGGAGCCCCATTATGTCACAAGGGACAGGACCAAGACCCAGCCCTTGACCACAAAGGGCACGGGGCAGTGTCAGGTCTGACTTCGCCCCTGCTCTTGCTCTGAAGCACAGGAGGAGTTATTTGCACAGTGCCAGCACCACAGATACCAACACCCCGTGCACGTGCCTGCTGCTCTTAAAGCCAAAGCCTCTCTGGGACTACAGCTGGCTAGGAAGGTCAAACTGGTATTTCATGCTTGTGTGGAAAGGCTTTCACTAGATTATATCGTCTCACACCGCTCAGGCAAGGCACCAGCATTAGCTCGCAGCCAGGATTTAGCGAGACTGACAGGACAGAACATCTGCTGGCTCTGCTCAAGGCTCTCGCTCGACTAGGAGCATTCAGCAAGCACTCGCACTGCTGCACAGCGTGTGGAAACAAATGAGAACGCCAACTTACTTTCATCGTCACTGTCTGGTGAGTCCTGGAAAGGAGGAGAAACATTCAGACTGCACTTGAAGGCACTTTTCCCCGCCCCACCAACCCACCAAACGAGCTGCCCCTTCCAAAGCCCAGCAGCAAGCGTGCTCTTCCTCAGAGTCCGAATGTAGAGGAACCCCAGGTTCCCCAGGATGGGCTTAGTCTGGCCGCACTGGCCAGAGTCCACAGACCCGCAACAACGAGCGGTCACCGCAGAGGCAGATGACACTGAGCTGTCTGACACCACTGCCCTCAACGCCACTGCCGGAGGGCAGGAAGGCGACTTTGCCAGGTGACATCATTTGTCCAGACAAGGTTTGGTGCCATTTAAGCTTTAACAGTGCTGAAGAGGGCATGCAAATCTGACTTCAGCAAGCAGCAATGAATGTGCAGGGCGCTGCGCCAGCCCTGCATGCATTCACTGCAAACAAAGTACTTACATCATCTGCCCCATCTACTTCTGGCAAGTCTACGTCGTCATCTCCGCCCATGTTGTTCATCATCTGTTCCAGAGAGAGAACAGCCACATTAGAGGGTGAAGCCAACCGCACTCTCTACGTGAACTAAGGGAGCACTGTAAATATCTAAAAATAGCTTAAAACTGTTATAACCAACAGCCACCAGTTGTTTTGTCAAATCAGCTGCACCTATGCAGAAATTACAAGGTCAGTGTGCAAAAAAATTAAAATTAATTGCCATGCAAACCAACCAGTGCACTGAGTTAGTGTCAGCATCTGCAATGAGACAAACATATCTGACAGCAAGCATGAACTGCTCATCTCACCGCCGTGCCGACAGCCCACCGCAGGCGTTAGAGCTGCAGCAAACCAGCAGAGCCTGTGCTGAGAGGAGGCAGGCCTAGGAAGACGACTCTTCCTCCAGCTTTCAGCCCCTGCGTGCCTACACAGGGCCCAAAAGGAAGCCCAAACCTCCAGATATTCATCTTCCCGTACCTCAGAAAAGCGATCAAAATTGGACATGTCTTCATCTGAATCATCTTCCCAGTCTTTCCAGTTGTTGAAGTCCACACTGAGCCAGTTGAGCTGCACATCAACACAGTAAGTCATTTAAGGACAAGCAAGTAACAAGCTGTTACCGTTAGAAAAGGAAGGTTAATGAGAACTGCCGTTCTGATCAAAAGCACGTTAAAGTGACCCATTAACTGCTACATAATTTAAACATGACCCAAATATTAAACAAGATCAAAAAAACGGGGGAGGCAACAGGTACTCCTGCCCTGGCCACCAAGGAGCCCAAACCCACCTTTGCCCTCTCTTTTGTTAACCTTGGCCATGCTTGACCAGATTCTCCTTTTCGTAAACAACACAAGATAGATCTGTCTGTTCTTTTATGCTTTGATTCCTGAAAAAGAGCAGGTATTTGTTAGTACAATCATCACAACCTTCACCAGGAACTGCTTATATTAGACTCATTTGCCTTAAGCTATCAACTTATTCTTTGTCCTGAAAAATACCGTCCAGAGATGTCTCTTTCACAGATCTGAGTTTAAGCACACTCTTCTGGTCTAAGGAAGAATCTGCCCACAATAGTGGAAGCAGCCTGAAGAACAGATAGCATTTTTCAGGATACAGAACTAAGAACACAGTAAGAGGAGAGTCAAGAGGATACTTACATTTGGATCAATATTATTAAAAAGGTCAATTTCGTTTAAATGTTTAAAGTTATCACTTCCTCCAAGACAACTGTTAAGAGAAAAAAAAAAAAAAAAAGCTTGTGTTTAGCAGGAAATGTCTTAAAGAAAAAATACACTTCATTAACAGAACTTGCTACTTTAAGGAAAACATCATCTAATCAGTACTAGCATAGCCTTTAGGTATCCCCCCCTGTGCCTTTCGGCTTTGTGAAGGCCCAAGGTACTCACCTGAATGTAAGTTTGGATTTTTCAAAATTTACATTAACATCTTTACTGTCTTCAACGCAAAATTCAATAAAGACATAGTCCCTTCGGTCGTACCACTTTGCAGATGCAGGCTGCCTGTGAACAAACCATTTAAGACCAGTTCAAATAAAATTTCATATCTTTCATCAATATTGAAAAAATTTTAAAACTCACCCTTCCATGCTGCCAGTAAACTTAACATTGGCTTTGCTTATGTTTCTCCTGATACAGAGCTTGAGCAGTTTGGTTTTTTTACTGCATTTAGAGAAGTTCAACTAAAAAACTCCTTCCTGTTCTTAAACTGCATTACTAGCTTATTATTAACAACCTTTAAACAGTGCTTAAGGCTGAAAAAAAGATGTGAAAAATAAAAAGCGATACAATGCATTCGATGCATAACGCCCCCAAAAAGCTCGTGCTGATAATGTTCCTTGAAGGAGCCATCAAAACCTCTGAGACTGAAATGTTACAGCAAATCAAAATTATGACAAACTTTTCAAGATAAGCTACTACAGACGATGGCAAAACTTCAGTCACCCCCAACAACTACACAGGCAGACTTAATTACGCTTTTTGTCACCCAAAGAGTTAAAAACCCAAAGCACAACCACTGAAAAGGCCACTTTTGGACACTGATACTATTAAAAAAATGGACCGTTCAACAAATTTGCTGTGAGACCCAGCTGAATTCAGTGCAACTACAAGAGCTGAAGAATCGCTGTCCCGACTTCTTGCTACAACCCTCTATGTACACAGATTCTAACTCCCACGCTCTTTGGTATCCTTCTGGCTTTCCATAAACACCATAAGCAACAGCCTGTCCGGGGCACCAAAAAGCACGGCAGGACTCTTGACCAACTCATGTGCGTTTGTAGATCTACAGCAAGAACTCACCTGCAACGCTCAAGCACGGCCATCCTCGGTGGGCTGGCGAGAGCGACCCTGACCAGGCACACCTCGGCTGCGGACTCACCACCACTTTCGGTTATTCTCCTGGCAACTCAGGCCAAGCCCACAACTGCACGTCTGCGTTCCAGGAGAAAGCAAACAGCCACCCAGCGCGAGCTGCTGTTGCTAAGGCACAGGAGACGGCGGGCACGTCTCACACTTCGGCTGTCTTCCAGAGGTGCAAGACCAAAGCCGGGATTTCATTGCTAACGCCCCTGCAGAGAAGACCTCAAAGACCTACCTGCGAGTCGGACTGAAGTCTGAGCCGAATAGTCATTTGACTCTGAGCCGAATGGTCACTTACCCTGGTATTTATTGCAACTACACTGACTACAGGAAGCTAAAGCACACGAGGACACAAAGCAAGCCAACATTCCTATTTGTAGGTGACAGAGTGGCTTCTACCTCACACACCGAGGAGTGGACGTTTGCTCTCAGTATTGCACTCAAAGCATTACAGCACAACCACCTGACAAGAGAGCAATTAACTTTCCAGAACATTTATTAAGGTGACCATTGCTAAACTTTGAGAATAGATTTTTGACTCGCCTGATCATCAACAGATTTGATTCTTGATATCAAACTGTGACACATCCAGTAAAGTTACCGAGTGCTGTGCCACCCCCCAGACAAACCCCGTTCCCTCACCCCATGGCGTGTTCCTCTCCTGCTCCCTGTGGGACGAACGGAATCAGGACCGAGCCCCGGGCTGGTTGAAACCTCAACCTGCCAGCTTTGAGCCCCGCCAGCGCTGCAAGTGCTTTGCAATGAAGCTGTACAAACACTGGTGCCAGCTCAAGGAGAGGCTGGGATGCCAAACGCAGCCGCGACTGCCTCTTCCAGCATCAGCCCCGTTTTGAGTGCGGAAAACACCTGATCAGAGGCCAGCAACACAGCATTTAACTTCCGACAGCATTAAAAAACAAGTGGTTTCTAAATGGAACCTTTAGTTTCAAGCAAGATACTGTCCCACCGGGTGAAAACCTAATGCTTTCCCTTTTAGCAGCATTATTAGGAAATGCTAAGGCACCTACTTATTCAGGTAAAGTACAACAATAGCAGTGCAGCAGTTTTCTTAGTACGGTATTTTAAATTCCTTATTGGAGACAAGTTTCCTCTTCTAATAGGGAATGAAAGACTCTTGGAGGAAAGATTGAGAAATGACCTGCTCTGTTCCCTCCATGTTTGGGCACTGCGCAGCAGCCGTTTCTCACCCCACTGAACGACAAAAATCCCACTGCGCAGAACTTGGTACATCACTCAAAGGCACTGTTATCAGAACAGGAATCTCAGTGTCCCTGCTCACAATGATGCAGGGGCACCTGCTGAATGGCATTAACACTTTGCGAACATTTTCAATGTCAATGGAGATATCTCCGGCCTTCCCAGGGAGCTGCACGCATTCCTCAGTCTTGCAGTTTTGGTTTGGCCATGACCTCGGTATCTTTGCCAAGATCAGGGGTTCTGAGGCACCAATAGCCCGTTCACAGGACTTCCAAATACCCTACTGGACTGCCCTAGAGCTGAAGGGAACTCACAAGAGACCTACAGAGAAGCATGAAAAGAGACAAAGGAAAATTTACTAGAACGTAATTCAGATTTCTAACACTAAATGCATGCTGCCTCCCCAGATATTTAGTACTTACCACCCTGAACGTGTAATTAAAGCTATGCCGGAGCTGCCTCTCATTCCTTTTATCTGTTTTTCAAATCTCTCCTCCTCCCAAAGGGAGGACAGAAACCTTCCTATGGCCATCTGTGAAGTGCTTTAGTCAGGACTTACCATTCAAACCAGTAACACAGGATACGCTGGAACTGCTAACCAAAGTTACGGATGAGACGGAAGTCGCAGCTCATTTGCCTTGCCTGCCTACAGGGAGATTCCGAGCAGGCAACTGTGCACACGGAAGCCAACAGCGAAGCACACACGTGCTCCGAGCACTTCAGAGAGATGGTTCCCCTACACCCACAGAAAATCTTCTAATTTTCCTACAGGCACTGAGAAACACTGCCAGGACTTCTAAGCACGGTCACTTGTTACATGGAGAGGCCAACGTCTCCTCCTTCTTGCTCAACTAAACTAATCCCACGGGATCTCGGCCTTATGCCGACCGCCTCAGCCCCAGTATGTTCTTTGGCTATGCATCATCCCCACATCCTAATGGGATTTAGGTTTCTTTGAAACAGAGAATTTCAACGTGCTATAGCAACAGATAACAGCCGACTTAGAGCATCATACAGCCCAGGGAACCCGCGTTCCCCATTTGGCAAGGATTTCTTCTGTCAAATCTACGCTTGCTGCCACCCACGCATTTTGGTGACTTCCTAAACAGACACGGCCACCACACATCTGCATCCGACTGTCTCTTCTAGGCATCACATTCAGGAGACAATCCTGACAACAGCATTATAGAACAGGTTCTAGAAGCTTCACAGCAGCAGTTTCCCCTGCTGACAGACGATGTGCAGGCTCAGCTTCACTCAAGAGACCTCACTGCTCCGTCTGACCCATGGGGGCTTTGCAGGAGCCGCAGTTCTGGTGCGGATGCGCCGATCTCCAGCTTCACCACAGGCGCAGAAGCAGCTTCTTACAGGCTGTACTCACGAGCCAAGTCTCAAACTCTTGCTGTCGGTGGCTCGGTGCAATCCCAAGGAGTTTCCAAACCTGTCCTTGTGCTTCCTTGCCCACTCTCTAGGCTGCACCTACTGGAAGCCCGGCTTTGTTTCCTGGAAAGTATCCTGAAAATTCCTACAGTTTGAGGACACTGCAAAAGTCATCTGCTGAACAAGATATTCACCCCAAGACAGCAGTAAGAAGCCTGTTTTATATAATTAGTTTAGCTTTCATTTATATGCCCTGGAAAGGCTTTTTTAATTAAAAAAAAAACAGTTTCAGACTACAGACAATTGTAAGTAGGATGTAGTATCAGTGGAGTTTCAAGATGATGTATTCTACAGACATTAAACAAAAAACTCCAACTTTATTACATCCTTCTCACTTTCAATCATGTTAAGATGAAGCAGCCCCACAAGTCAGAGTTTCAGAACAGCTGCGCTGAAGTAAACGCCTCACTGAGGACAAGGCGGCAAAAAGCAACCGGTCACATTGGCTGTTTCACTGAGTGGTAACGCTTCCCTCAATGCCCGGGGCAGATCAACCTTTCTGACTAACAAAAACCTCAGGAAAGTGCTACCTTCAGGCACTTAAGCCAAACCTGTGGAAATCCACACTCTCGGCGGGTAACGCTACCATCAGTTTCAGGGGCAGCGCACCACTTCCTTAACAGCCAAATTTCACTCTTAAGAGCATCACGCTGCACAGACTGTGAAGTTCGGCTCTTCTTTCACTTGCATTGCTAGAGAACATTCGTGCTGACTGGAGCTCTGTTACGAACAGCATACGCCGGTTTTGGGTCACTGAAGCAGCCTCAATAGAATTACAATGAAGCCAGCTAATTAGGACTCCCCAGCACGGCAGGAGCACGCCCGCAGCGTGGAGGCACTTCGCAGCGCAGGTTTTTCGCTCTGGGTGCGCAGGAGACCACGCTCGGAGGAGAAATCCGGGGGCTCGGGTCCGCTCCCCAACCCGCGGGGTTCACCTCCGGCAGGGCCGCGGGCAGCGTGGGCACCGGGGCTGCCCGGTCGGACGCTGCCGACTCCCTGCAGCGCCCGGGACGGCGGCACTGGCACCGGGGAGGGCGGCCGAGGACGCTCCAGTGCTGCACGCACTTCCCAGAGGCGCCTTCTCGTTTCGGGTGCGGAGAAGCAAAAGCTCCACAGGAGATGACCGCATCACCCCGTCACGGGCGGCAGAACGTCTTACTTACCGGGAATTGTGCACAGTTTTAGCCACTACCGTTTGGCGGACGGCAGCGCCGTTCAAACCACGCGCCGACGTTCAGCGGCCCCGTCCCGGCCGTCCCC